TTAAGTCAGGACTCATGTCATCTATCACCAACTAAACCAAAAATACTTGTCGAATATTATCCCGCCTATAAACTTAATAATTTAAAACCAGGGATAAATTTTAATATCAGCTCATCAATTGATTACTTAAACTATATTGGTATGCGAAATTAAAGCTTTAAAGTCTATTTATTTAATTACAATTAAGTTTTATTTAATATTTATATAGCATATGGCCCAAATGATCTTGTTAATAATGCCGCAAATAATGATGCTGGTGGAGACCCATTAAAATTTTTTAACAGTTCCAAATTTAATGAACTGTCAAACTATAAGGCAAATAAAAATTTAAAATTTAAGGTAAGTAGTAAATGTTAAATCTACATTAAAATTATATTATTTAGTAACAAAATTGTCATTTTATAGATTATTCTATCAGTCCTGTTACCAACCGATGGGAATAATTTAACTAAATTCTTTAATCGGAACGATCAGGACGAGAATGAGACCCAGAATCTGACTCAGAGCCAGACTCAGACTCAAACTCAGACTCGAACGATTCAGACTGCGACCGCAAGTTTGGTTCCGGCGATAAGACTGGGTCCGGCGGGAAATCTGGGTCGGCGAGGTTGGTATGAATCAAGTAGTGCACATAACGAGAAATTCATTAAAGAGTTGGTTTCTATTGTTACTCGGTTTAACTTTGATGGAGTAAGATTAACTGATTCATTTTATATTATATACGTGATTATTTTGGTGCCGCCAAACGAAAACCAATAATTCTTGAATTTCGGATTTAATACTTAACAGAGTATGGCTTATCAGCTCCGAAGGACAATATATAGTTACATCATTTCGTTGTATTGAAATCTATGCTTGAATCGATATCATTAGATTAGATCTTTTAAAGTCCGGTAAGCCTATATCTTGTGAAGTGAAATATCCGAAAATCAATCCTTGACGGCACTTATTTATTAGACAATTAATTAATTACTTTCTATATATTAACTTGTATATAGATTGATATAGACTATCCCTTCAAATTTCCGTGCAATCCTTCAATAGGATTCGATGAAACTGATTTTTCAAATTTCCTAAATGCCATATCAGCACAATTAGGTAATAATAAGAATTTAACAATTACGGCTGGCCAATATCCTATAAAGAGCATCAACTCAAATATCATTAGTTTTATAAATCTTCAGGTAATATTTAACTTTTTCTTTTATATAATAAATGATACTATAAATATTTATTTAGGCCACGCAAATTAAATTAGTTGGTTCTCATAACATGGGACAAGCAAATAGGACCCGGCCGGCCGGCAAAAAATGTTATATTTAAAAATTTTTTTAATATAAAAATTTTTATAAATTTTTTTTCAAAAAAAATTTTATTATAACAAAAATTTTTAACTTTTCAAAAAAGTGACCCGGCCGGGTTATGAGAACCAATTTTATTAGTTTGAGTGGCCTTATCTATAAAATTTTAGGCATTTCATCTTAATATAAATCACACGTATGCAAGTGCTGGAATAGATCGAATCAAATAATTGGACTTCTATAGATCGTTCAAAACTCGTTTTAGGCGTTGAATTTGGAGGAATTGTCGAAATTGTCACTTCTAAAAATATTATATCAGACATTGAGAATCAGACTCTTCATCTAGCAAATGTCTCAAATTTAAGCTTCCCTTTTCCTACTGAAACGATTCCAGATCAATGTAGCATTTCATCATATGCATATTGGCCATGGAAAGATTTAAGTAGTCAATTATCATCACCATTTTGTCCTACAAATTTAACTTCATCGTCACAAAACTGGACCTATGGTTTTATTAACAATGCGAAACAACCATATCTTTACCGACAAGATCCGTCTTCAAAATACTACTATGTTGCTTTCTATGAAGATTATCAATCGTTAAATGCTAAGCTCGACTATATAAAAAATAATAATTTAGCAGGAATTGCGATTGCAGACATTACCAAAGACTCACAATTAATAAACTTTATTTCGGGGAATCAAACAAATAATACGGGAGGGAATGAACCTTCATCTCCCGATATAGCTGCAATAGTGGGTGGTAGAATAGGCTCCATTATTTTTGTTGGCACATTAGTAGCTGTTGGCATCGTATTGTATCGAAGAAAACACAGAGCGAAAACGTCTAATCCACTCATAGATACGAATAATCAGACTTGCTCTGATACAAATCCTCAGATTTATTCTGATATAAATCGTCAGGTTCGTCCAGACACAAATAATCGGATTTACTCATAAAGCTTTCTAATTATTAGTATAGTAAAAATGTGCATACTTCAAGAAAATTTGTACTATTAAAAAATAAATGCCCAAAATGAGACCGGCTACATATGAGACCAATTCCCTCTATAATTAGTCACCTTAATAACGAACTCTAGATATGACGAAATGTAAATTTTTAAACTTTAGTTCGTTATATTCGGTATAGAAAATGTAGTATGTTCTTAAGAAACAATAATCTTATATAACAAATTTTTTCTCCAGAACCATAGGTTCACCATGTACACTAATTATCTTCTGCTACGATGATTACTGCATTGAGATCAATTTTCTAAAAACACCTGCAGCTTATCAACCTTAAACGTGTAAATTCTAAATTTGCGATTATTTTATTACTGTATACATTGTTTCACACTGTTTTATATCCTAATTGATGTAATATAAAAAAAAACTATAAATTTCGGGTTAACCAAGTATCGTTATCAATAGAGGTGCAGGAACTTGAGGACGTATGGTTACGTTAAAAGATGAGCAGTTACGCCAAAAGTGCTGTAACAGCGTATGTTGTAATAGCCGTAACTAAGTTTTTAGACGTCATGCAGAATATGATTCATAAGACGACGTTCGTATGATTGGCTATCAATTTTCAATTGAATTTTACATTATTTATATAGCTGTGTAGTTTAAAGTACTTTTTCAAAAAACAAAATCAGAGCATAATAAAATAACATTATACAGAAAGGCTTTTTAGAGTTGTAGGACTCTATTGCCAAAAAGCGTCTTTAACCTTCATCTTTTTAAAAAAGTTAGCATAGTTATGACTTTATTTTTCCGTTTTTGAGAAGTCGTTACTATGCTAACTTCATTAAAGAGTTAAAGATACTTTTTGACAATAGAGTCCTACAACTCTAATAAACCTTTCTGTATAATGCTTCTTATTTTATTATGTGCTGTTTTTGTTTTTTGAAAAAGCTGATAAGTACTTTAAACTGTGTAAATAATGCAAAATTCAATTGAAAACTAGAACATGATCATGTGGCGGCTTCGTCACCTAAGTCATGTGATGAATATTCCTTTTTCTCACCACTAATTAATGCAAATACAAGTAAACTTGGTAAGGTAATACATGATAATAAAGTTTCAATATAACTTGATTAATGAATGTTCTTTTTTGCTTACATAGTAAATTAATGCAAACAAAAATAGCAAAAAAATTTGTGATAGAAGTATGAGTTCAGATTACTGAAAATTTATCTTTACTGCCTATTGCCACATTGTTTATAGCATTTTCAGAACACAATATCAAGTACACTCTTCTTCATCAATAAAATTCCCGGACTCTTGAATAGTTTTTGGTTCTATTCGATTTTAAAAATGAAATTCTTGAATATGACCTGAATACTATAAGCAGTGCTAAACGGTTGATTGGTCAAGAAAATGAACAGATAATGTGCAATAGTAAATATTCAGTAGATTGTCTCTAATACTTGATTAATCTAGTGAATTAATGCAAGCAAAAATAAACTGGTTAGGATAATGCATGAAGGTAAATATTCACGAGCCTGATGTCTTGTCTAAGAAAAGGATTGTTGAAAACATGTAATGTCAAATATGTCTTATCGAAAAAATGTGCTGCAAATGAAATAACGTGTCATCACGACCAAATACGATTGTTGGATATTATCCGGCTTATAAATATAATTTGAAAGCAGATGACTTAAATAAACTTATAAGTTCGTCAATTACTCATTTAAACTATATTGGTATGCGGAATTTAAAAACTTTCAATCATTATAATGGATTAAATTTAACAAATACTATTGGGTTTAAATTACTATAGCATTTGACCCGAATGATATTACTAGTAGCACTGGGCCAAACACGGTGTTTAATGATATACAGCATTACAACAAATTTAATCAATTTAGAGACTATCTTTTTAGAAATCCTAATCGGAAATTTCAAGTGAGTAATAGATGCTGAATATATGTTAAAGTATTTATTATAATGATTAATTTGCTATTGATAGTTAATCCTTTCAGTCTTGTTGCCTACTACTCAAGACTTAGTAAAAATCTCCCCGTTTTCTAATATTGTAACTGGGCAATATAATCAAAATAACACTTTTGTTAGTGATTTAATTAACATTGTCGCCGAGAATTCGTTCGATGGAGTAAGTTCAAAATTTCTTATCTTTTACATTATTTAATGATGGTTACGTTAATTATTTTTTAATTGCAGATTGATATTGATTATCCTAATAAGTTTCCGTGCTATCCGGCGCAAGGAACGAATATATCGGCAAATCAACAGCTCACTACTGATAACCTAAATTCTGTTTTCATACCGTTCCTAAATGATTTATCAAGCCAATTAAGGAAATCTAATGGCAGTAAGATTTTAACGGTCACAGCAGGCCAGTATCCTATATCTGGTCTTAACTCCAGTAATTCTGGTATTATTAATTTTGTGAATATTCAGGTAAGATTTAATTTTATTTCTGAACAAATGATGTTATAAACTCTTATTATTCTAAGTATAGCGGAGAACCCCCAGATTGTGCAATTCCGTTCACTCATATATAATAGCTTGTTAGCTCCAGATACATAATATTGTGCATTAATCTA